AGGAAAACAAAACCTACAAATATAAATATTATAGTTACTAGTACTACTTAAAATACTTCAGGCAAATCAACCGGTAAAGAAAAAAAGATTAAGGTTAAGTACTGTCTCAATTATTTGAATAAAATGTTTACTTTTATTGYCTTTAGGATTTTCWTAGAGAATATATATTACTATCATARTTCTGAAATATCGTAATTTCGCCATCAACACCCACTACAAAGGTAGGCAACACATGTTGTTACGACAGTGGAAATGTAGTCCTCCYACGTGACAAGTACTGMSAAAACGTGCAGGCWTACCTGCTTCYCGTTCCTCATRTCCCTGATGAMAAGTTATCTACATTTTCGCTATACTTAACATTACAAAACATAGTCTGRAMGAAAATGAAACGATATCATGGTACCACCACGTTGGTGAAACAAAGATTGAAGGCAGCTGAACTGACGCGCTCCCACTAGGCATTCATCTGAGTGATTACAATTAACTACTTTTAACTCTGAAACAGTCGGCMTCTTTTGGTCTAAGATTAAAATTAAAATGTTTTTATGGCATGGCGAGTTCYATCGTTGTCAKACCTCTCCACACCGATGCATTTASATTTTTTCCTTTTTTCATTGTTCAACGTGTTGAGTWCGTGACGCGGGACATWWTTCGCGTTAAARGCATATTATTTCGTTTACGTACTCAACTATACTAAACTTTACTAGTAAAATATCTTAAAACTACATCAATATAAGGGGCCAACATATGGATTTCATTGATCCAAGATGCATTAGCGGTCAGAGCGTCACCTAGTAACAAAACTGACTTTTTATGAAAGTGACCGTTTTCCTTCTAAAGGTTCTGAAAATAAACTGGGTTGCCTTTTTCGTCTAAAAGTCATATGTTWCGTTGAAACTAATATCATTCAACGACGAAAAAAAACATTTCCTCTTCCCCGCCGATACGAAATCATAGCCGGTTGTTGAAATCCTTTTATTTATTGCGTAAGCCAGCAAGAACTTGACTTTTCAAATTAATCAATATTAATAGCTGCCTGTCAGTCAGCAGCCAATTATACTTGCTTCAGTTCTATTCTCGGTAAATTTATGAAGAGACAGCCAGATTCAGTTTCACAGGTGCTACCCATTACGTGTCTGAAAATAATGGTATTTCAAACCAAAACAATTCACTAGATCACGAAGTTTAGAATTGTCACGCAAGGCTGCTGACTCAGTTTGTGTACTGTTTCGTTGTTGAACGCTGCTGCTATTTTCTGTTTGTTGCTGTTGTTGTTGTTGACAGTATTTCAAGGTGCGTCTTATCAACAAGTCAGTAGGAAATGCAGAATATTATGTTTCATGTATAGCAATTCATTCTATCCTCTTTGTTCGTGACTAGCCTCCTTCGCTGCGTGGCTGCTGTGTTCCTGGTCAAGATTATCAACACAGGGAGACCAAAATTATTGATGAGACCAAATGGATTAACCTGCGAAGAAGGCTAGATCGTGACCAGATAGCAGGGTTTCTTGATAAGATTTTGTGGCCAATCAAAAGTAGCCTGTGTACATCCGTGTCTACAACAGATGCACGGAATCTAATCAAAAGCGATACAAGATTAAAAGTGACGGGAAAACACCGCAATAGGAAATCATTTACTGATCTTTATCATCAGATTCAAGAAGCTCTCTCGTAACCCTTGGAGTATATGGATATTTATTGACTGTACAGTCCCGTCTGAGGGACAAAAGAAAAGATTCTAGTTCCYAAGGAGGCAAAGTCTTTTGTTTTGTCTTCCAAATGAAGCTGCTTTGATAATACAAGGGACAAACACACCTGTATATAGTCTCATATAGTCTTT